TTAGAGACATTGTGTCATACTCTTGTACCAGGGGTGGGCAGGGACATTTCGGACGGTCAGGTGCATTCCCTATGGTGATCACTGCATCGTTTGTCTGAGACTGAGCTTGTTGGTGGGAAAGAGTACTGCCAGCTGGCACATCGCCAACCTTTGATTTAACTATGCCCGGCCAATTTTGTGGAAGAAGCTGAAGAATTTGAGGCTGTTCATGTTGTGGTGACATCTGATGAGCCAGCGAGGATGCAAAGTTTTGTGATGCTTCCACTAAGCTGCCACGCACAGGGTTGTACTCGGTTGATGTTATTCCTGAAAATGACATAAATGTTGGACTTAAGTGGTACATGGTTATATATCAATGTGTATGGACACCTTGTTGCTTAAAACTTCAAGCATGTTACATTGATATGATAAATCATGTCAAATAACTTTAAAGTACTACCAAAAACAAAGTTACGGAGAAGTTGATGCACACAATTATCAGGAAGAAAACATCAAATTACCTGTAACAGTTCTACGTTTTTTTGGGGGTTGTTCGCACAACTTGGGGACATCAGTCTTTACGAGTCTCATCTTTGAGATGGCAGCGGGCTTCACACCTCGTGTGCGGGGAGGGATGTGCCACTGCTGTGGTGCTGACGTCTTGGATGCTATGGGGGGAACACGCTGTTTGGGTAAAATTGAGGTAAATTAATCCAACTTTAAGCAGTAGGTTTCAGGAGAATGTTTCAGATCCATGCAAGATACATTCATATTTCTTATTCCAATCAATAGTAACCAAACTGCTGCATATCTATACTTCCTCTCACTAGTATATCACTGACAGACTATGTTGTAAGACAGTGTCAGCCATTACCCATTTCAATTTAGAAACACTCACTTCTAATCCAAGGTTCTGGAAATGTGCCAGCTGGTACAGCAATGCTACACTATGATTGCATGTCCCTTTCCCAGCTGTACAGGAACACGCACAGTCAACCTCCAGGTCACTGGAGATGGTCATCTGGACAGGAAGAGAAGACATAAAGTACATGTACATGTACTCAAATATCTATACTATTTTTTTCAACAAAACAAATATTGACGAATGAGTGTAAATAAATTGAAAACTGTTGTTAAGTTCATTTTGCGAAGTATTGATATATATTTACACTTCAATGGGCCTGGATTGGCCAACTGATGAGTGACCAGTTACCAGTGTCAACCCGACTAATAATAATATTCATTATCATATAGCCGGACGGCGTGGACCAATCAGAGGCCCGGATACCCGTGCTGTTATTTCCCGATAACAGCACATGTGGTGTTATGGCGGAATAACAGCACATGTCGTGTTATGGCTGATACCATTATGTTATAGGGTATAGGGGCATGCGACTCTTTCTGTAAACCTTTGTAGCATTTTTCTGTCCAATAAACTTTTTTGTTTAGCTTCATTTAAACTACAATTTGCATTAAATGAAATTATCCATATTTGTTTTAAAGCGTATAATATATTCGAATGTATTTTTATGTATGTATATATATTAAAGCTGTTGTATTTCAAACAGGAATTGTGTTGATTGACAGTTTGGATAGGCTATATGATAATAATTTTAATGCACTGCCTTTTCCTCGTTGTATATGGTATCATAACTGCATGGGCAGCTGCCATAACCACCTCATAAACCACCTCGTTCGCTTCGCTCACACGGTGGTTTATTCGGTGGTTATGGCAGCTGCTCATGCAGTTATGACACCATATACAACTCGGGGCAGTGCATTAACCCTTTATTAAATATGGTATACTTAGATAGCTCTATAGAAAAACAAACTGTAATATTATTAATCACCTTACCTATAACATTGCATAAGTTGTTTGAACCAGCTGCAGAAAACGGTAACACAACTGCAGGAACACAACCTTAAACAAAAAATAAACAAGAAACAATCATTAAACAGGAACATAGCGAGGGGGGGGGGGGTTANGAAAAACAACCTTAACACAACAATTATAAGATTTCAACCTTCTTGACACAAACAATTCCATAAGATTTCCAACTATGAATTATCAAACATGTCAACGTATTACCGCCAT